TGTTGTCAGTCAAATGAAGCGCAGAGCGAATTGTATAAAGACTCGACCCGTAAACAACGTAAGTGTTACAATTGCAGAGATCAGATCACAGTAAAGATTGACACGGCACTTGGTGTAGCAACGGTAAATATATACCATGGATTCCTTCATTCACACCCAGACCTTATTGATGAAATGCCTGATGAACTAAAAGAGGAGATAAATACACACGCGCATTTTACCACAACCAAATTAGTAAATCATCTACGACGTAAAAAATTTGATATCTCGAAATATTCGCATAAGTGAATATATTACTGGAAATCTATTGCAAATCAGAATAGATTTTAGCGACACAATGACCCTGTTGAATCTGCACTTAGACTGCTTGATGAATATAGTAGTCTGGGCTTTCACCAGTGCTTATATATCCGAAATTCAGAGTCAGTCGCCATTGGATTTACCACACCATTATTAAATAAGATTAAGAACCAAGGTATTTAAATATCTTGATGCCTATGAAAGCTATATGTGTGCCTTATATGAGTGCTGTCAAGGGAAAATGCAACTTCAGTTTATTAAATAATGTCGCAGATGTTCATGAAATTTGGGGTCTTTTTTAATAATATAAAACCTACTAAAATCTACTTATACTCTTTTCTAAGCAACTCTAACCCTAAATTATAACATATCACTAAAAAAAAAAAAAAAAAGAACAATACACCCTAAAAATTCCAAAATTTCATATTAAATTAGGTTCTTGTCTGATTTTATGATCATCTGTAACAAATAATAACCGAAGTCTCATTTCCCTTGGCAGCACTCATAGAATATATACCTAACAATCAAATGTTAATTCATAATATTAATATTTTTGTAATTTATGTCAACCCTTTTTTTTCATATACAATATTGAAGGTATTAATATGGCGGAAATATATATAGATGCGACTTACAGGACCACAAGAAGACAGTACAAATTATACGGCATTGTAGTTGACGTTGAGGGAGCAGGTTTCCCAATTGCCTATATAGTAATCAATACAATAAAGGTAGAAAATATGAATACTAGCACAGGAAGGCGCTGTGAAATCTTGGAGCAATTTTTGATGGCTATAAAAGAAAGTGGTGTTAATCCAGACTTCGTGTTTACAGATAAAGATTTCGGGGAAATAAACGCGGTGACTAATGTGTGGGGACCATTGAAAGTTCAGCTCTGTCTTTGGTATATGGAAAGAGCGTTGAACCAAAAATTAGTGGAGAAACACAAAAAATCAAAAAACTTGAACCTAATATCAATAACTTACAATGCGGATCAAGCGGCAGAAGAATTTGGTTTTATTGACCCCACGTTTTATCCAACAGAATATAATCGAGATCCACAAAATTATGTCGTTTGCCCAATAACCTATCATGAACAAATTGTGAAATTGATTAGGAAACATTATAGCATGCACCCACTAATACCATGTAAGTTAGGTTCAATTTAAAATACACATTACTGATTATATTGACATTTTTGAGACAAAATATTAAATTTTTTTTTTTTAATAATATCTCAAAAATATCGAGTATCGTGTATTTGTTGATTAAATAAAAGAGTCTAATTTCTCTGCTCTATTTTCTTTTTTCATCAAACTACCAATCTCGGGTGATAGTTGATACTCAAGGAGGCACGTTGTCACCGGCTAACATAAGGAAAATTTCTGTGAATGAAATGTATCAATTTTGCATCGAAAATGGTTTACGAGTTTTATGGGCATACCTCTGGACCAATTGGTATTCACCTAGTCTATGGCTGCTTTGGGCACGCTCAGCTAGACCTACAATATCTCTTAGCAAAACAACGATAAAAATCAAAGCACACTGGAGTGTGATTAAACGATGTTACTTATATTGTTTTAGTAGTCCCAGATTAGACCTTATGTTTTGGACTTTGCTTGACAAAGTAATACCAACACAAAATGATCGTCTTTCTCAAGTTCTAAATGGTACAATAAGCCCGTGTTGGTGGGAGGCTTTCAAGAAAGAATGGAATTACCTGGGTGCAAGTGATGAACGTTGGATAGAAATGCGTGTAGATAAAAATAATAAAGGCAAAAAAAAAACTAGCTGATCTACAGCCAACTGACTTGCCTGGATCATATTTTACAGAAGTTTCTTCTTGGGTTTGCAGTTGTCCTGCTTTTGTTGTAAGTCGTTTTTTAATGTGTAAGCACTTGGTTTGGCAGGTTGTAAACATGCCCAACGGAACAAGCGGCAGTTAATTAGAGAAGATTTTGAACGTGGGACTATACCACCTTTTCTTATCATAAAGGACCTCGATTATGATGAATTTATAAACTCTATACCTATGACTACTACCATTTTCCCTTCTGAAGCATTCGATAATATTAATGAGGATCCAGAAGAAGAAGTTCATACTTATGTTGAAATGGCCTCTAATTGAGCGAGCAATAAAGCGGATTCATACTGAACGATCGGCTAATAACTGGCGCCATGTCCATGCAATGATAGACTGGAGCAGATTAGCAGATATGGAAGAAGAAATAGAATCAGTTGAGAGAAAAAGGCATATGCAGGCTACTTGGGCTCCGGTAAATAAAAAACTATATTTAATGTATTTACCTCTTTCGAATGAATCAGAAATAATAGAGAGTGATATAACTAATAATAATGATGAAATAAGTAAATTAGTAAATGAGTAAAGGGATTAAATATTTATATTTTTTTAAAAAAAATTAATGTACCATGCGCAAATAAACATTTACATACTTTAAGATTCTTTATAAATTTTTATACCAGTTTTCGTCACTTATACCAATCTTATGCCATCTATAAAATATTGATTAAATCGTTTCTTCGCTTTTTAAATAATGAGTTCATAAGGACTTGCAAGAAATGAATACTTATTTAACATTTTTTTAGAAAGGAGTTGAAAAGTTGACTGTTAGAGGTCACACAACTAACCTTCTATATCGAACCTATATACTGCGGCTGTGGCGCGCAGATCATCTAACTGGACTTTTCGTGGTCGCCCTGGCGCACTCGGCCACCAATTTTACAGGTCGCATGATAAAACGCCACTGCCGTAGCTTTACAATACAATACGAATAATACCTTGATTTTGATTGGCTATACGATATAAAGATTTAATTTTTTTTACAATTTTTTTCGATTGTTTCTCAAAGACTACTGGGCAAAACATGATAAATTTTTTTATTTTAATCATATAAAGCAATAGAATGAAAATAAAAAAACATTTATTGAGATTGGTCTAGTAATTGCCAAAAAATATTTGTATAAAATTTAAAAAAAGCTACAATCATTGTTTTTAAACTTAATAATTTCTCGACAAACTACTATACCAAATTCAATAATTTTTATTTTATTTGAAAAACTTATTCCTCGATGGCAAATCAGTTGATGTCGTATTGAATACAACCATTAGAATTGCTAAAGATTGTTGGATCATAAAACGTTATAATCAAATTTGCCAGTATGTCTTGTCAACAGAATATATGACATACTTTGTAGCTTACATCAAGATGTTTTAAAACATATTGGTTCTTGTAACTATAGAATGAGGTAAATGACTTAAATTCAAGCTTTAAATTAAAAAAAAATTTAACATAGATACAGTATATTTTAGATTTCTGAGCAGTTACGTTGAAGAATTGAACAACTTGTACATATAGGACAAAATTTTTTTAGCAAACCGATGTCTAATAAAATTTTAATTGGGTTCAAATTAATTTTAATTTCAATGACTAGAGATTGAAATCGATGACTAATTATTCCAATGCCTATACAAACTCTGTGAACAACATAATGATATATTTTTTGATTGAAATTTAACTGATTTTGATAATTATAACATGATTATATTATATAATTGATAAATTATATATTAAAAATGTATCAATAGCAATACAATTGATAAATGACACCACTAAATTTTTTAAAATTCATCGAACATCGGTCAAAATTTTTTTACTGATGCTCAAAATTCTAGAGTTTGTGATCAATCAATGCTCGAAACTTATCGATTCCACTCTCTATCAATAACTAGCCTTTTATATAGCACATGTGCTAAGGTTTTTATTTGGTGTTAGGACCTAATCCGAATTGAATAAAGTTTTAAGTGTGTGAGAAGCTTTACAAGTACAAATAGGTAATATAAATCGCTGCAAATGTAAATTGCCTCGTGGAAGTAGCAGTCATTCCAAATACTGAATATGTATAAATGGTAATCGCTTTTGATTTTAAATTAGTCTTTGTAAAACTATTACGTTGTTATGCAAGTTTTTTGTGAAGTTCGTCACATTTGTTATGTGAGTCTTTTGTGAGGCTTGTGTTTGTTATATAAGCTTTTGTGATGTAAACAGAAGGATCATTTTCTAAATAAGATTAGCATACGTCTAGCATAAAACAATGTGTAATTCATTTCTAATTGTTATGATATAGACTATTTAGATTAGCTTGATCAAAATTAACCCATTACACCTAGTAGCCATTTCAAAGCTAGAATAAAATCAAACTTGATTTATTGATTTATTGATTTAAGTTATTAAATTAATGCATTACATGCTTAATATATCATAATTTACAATTGATATGCAGACGATTTAATTTATTTTAGACGTATTTGTTATGTAATAAAATTTATAATTGTGCAAAATTTCTTTAAATAAATTAGTTCAATAAAAAATTGGTACGAAACATTAGTAGTAAATTATTGTGTTAACAATTGAAACGAAAATTAAATAAAAATCACAAACGCAATTCATGTTCATCAATATTTTGATCAATTCTTGAGACTAAGCGCATAATTTTTTTTTATTATTAATATTTTGGCTTTGTCTCAACAATTATCTTTCCCATTATCAATATTCTCTTTGTTAGTTTTCGAATAAATATCAAATGCGGTCCATGATGGAAGACAAATTTTCTAAAAAAACGATCTGTACTAATCACATACCTAAACATAATCTCTAAGTATTATCAACTCTTCATAAAACATGTACTGCTCAAATTGTAAATGTAATCATTCCGAAGATAGATTCATTTGGGAAGGTACTCGGCATAAAACTTGTGGAAAATGCAAACCGGCTGCAACTACAAATTCAACTATTGAATCAGCCAGACAGCCTGAAGATATTGATTATGACACTATCGATATCCAGGAGGAAGACATTAATGATATTGTGTGTGTCAAGATCGACTGCCTCGATGTGGGGACCTTATTGAGCATGAAATCAAAGAATTAACATTTGATGAGTCTGACTTTGGTGCAGTATATCAGACACATTTGCTTGTAAATGTAGATATAACTTCGGACATGACAGCCAAGGATGTTGCTGCTCTTATCGTCACTGAAATAGAAGGTGGCAATGATTATTTATGGAAGTAAGTATATAATATACTATAAATTGTACTGAATACTTCTTTTTTTTTTCCTATGTGCATAGATGCTCTTAGGCACTTCATTTATTATTTTTCTAATTCTTATTATTATAAATACTTAGCTTTCATCATTCCAAAATATCCAAAAAATTTGGCAACAAGGTTGGTAGGTTTGATTATATATGTTGTCAATTATATGAGGTGCAAAGGGTGTATAAAGATTCAAACCGAAAAAGGAGAACACATTATGACTGTAAAGAAAAAATTAAAGTGAAGACTAATATAAATCTTGGTGTCTCAATGGTAGACATTTACCATGGGATTCTTCATCCGCGTCCAGATCTTTGTGCTGAAATGCCCATTGAATTGCGAGAGGAAATTGAAGCAAATACACACCTTACTTCTGTGCAATTTACAAATCACTTACGACGCCGAGGGTTCGATATTTCTAACTATTCTCCAAAACGAATTTATTTCTGGAAATCCATGGTGAGCAAAAGTCTTTTTTAATGCCATGATAATCATATAGTATCTGCGTGTATACTACTTAACGAGCATTATGACCAGGGCTACCATCAGTGTCTTGATATTCCAAGTTTAGAATCCATTGCAATTGCATTTACTACTCCTCTATTAAACGAAATTAAAAATTACAATATTGATATTAGCGAAATTTATGTAGATACGATATATAAAACTGCAAAGGTTATTTTTTTTTTGTTTTTTTGTTTTTTTTTTAATTTTTTTAATCTTTTTTTTTTTAATTTTTAATTATTTCTAGGGGCGTTTTGAGTTGTATTGTATA